GACCTTATGCCAGTCATTCTTCCAGCATTGGCTTACAGACGATACGCTTTGAATGAAATAAATCACACTTCAGTTTGTTTCAGAACTCAGCTCAGTGTGCCTTGAAACAGTCTGGATGGTTCCAGGAACTTGTGTCTTGCTTCAGAAGCTTCTGTCAGACTGGAGGTGCACCTGTGGATGGACTTGGAGGCCCACCTTCAAACTCACTGCCTCTTTGCTTGACATTATCGGAACAATCAAAACAAATCACACAAAACTGTCGATCTGCTCACGTCTATGAGTCCAAAAAGCCCCCAGAGCTGCCTCAGTACCACCACTTCTACCACTGATAGGAGCCCATGTGTGGCTTCACCACAGAGTGAAGCAGAGGAGAAAAAACATCATCGTAGCAGGAGGCTGTTACTGTGGGTTCTCTCACACACACACACACACACACACACACACACACACACACACACACACACAGTAATCTGAAGCACAGTCTGAAGACTTTATTGCTGCTACACCACACATAGAACTCCAATAACAATGCAGTGGACTCTGGGTTATAATAGAGCGCACACAGTTTCCCCTCAAATAAAACACACTTCTTCTGAGAAGATTACACTGCTGGCTGGTGCACTGTGGCTTGTAGTGTGGTTGGCCTTGGAGCTCCAGCTCCCAGCAGCTACTGCAGGAAACCAAGAGGGACTGATCAGAGGATGCACCACTGGTCTGCTGATCAGCTCGCCCTGATACTGAACCAGCCTGGCCACCTCTCCCCTGCTGCTCAGCACCACCACAGTCACAGTCTGTGTCAGCCTGCAGTCCTGACACCACCTTCATGTCAAGGACCATCCCTGGTAACGGGTTTGGCCTGCAGCAACCACACAGACAGGAACCGACAGTTTTCACTGTGGAAGACGCCTCAGCTTCCAAGAGCAGGCCAGGCGCTGATAAGACCAGGAAAGCACCAGGAGCAGCTGGACTGTCACAGGAGGGTCCTAATGTAACTCTGAGGTGCTGAGGGAGACCTTTGGTGACCTGAACTGTGGTGCGACAGCATGCAGGTGCTCCAGTGCACTGGGTGGTGAGTCCACACCAGCCTGCAGTCACCACAGGAAAGTCCTCACCTCCCTCTCGCCCTGCTCACTGGATTCAGCTCTCGACTCCGTCTCTAACCCAACATAAAATCCAGTTGAAAGGTTGCCGTTGTGACACACTTCAGGTGACTCAGTGGTCAGTGCAGATGGTCCTTGATAACTTTACAGACTTCCAGGGAGCATTCCAGGCTTTGCAGGCTGAGTGTTGGGAGAGGTGCGTCGCTGCACATACAACAGGGATGGCAGCTGTATTAACACCAGGTTCTGTTGTTTGGTTTTTATTGGCAGCCTGAACTTTCTGGTGACACCTTTTTCAATAACAGGGCTCCAGTCCCTCATTACGAAGATGAATGCACATGTTAGAGCTCAGAGGTGCAGAAACCACCGGCACTGGTCTCCAGAGATGAGGGGAAACAGGCGGTATGGTCAGAAGAATCATCCTTCACCTTAGAGGGAAGGGTTGGTGCAAATCAATATAAGTTGTACTGAGCGACCACCGTTATACGATGATAAAACATTTCTGTCCTGATGGGAGAGCTCGCTTCCAGGAAGACAATGCCTCCATCCATCGGACCTCAGAGGTCACTGAAAGGTTTCAAGAAACTGATGTGTATCAAATGAAAGCCACCAGATCTCAGCAGCTTTGGGAGATGTTAGACGGACGTATGACCCGGCGCCCTCCAGCACCACCAGCACAACACGAAATGAGGGAATACCTTTTAGAAGAACAGTGTTGATCCCTCCAGCAGAAGACCAGAGACTTGGGGAACCAATGCCAAGGTGCATTAAAGCCGTCCTGGCAGCACGTGGTGGCCCAACACCTTCCTAAGACTCCATGTTGGTTTCTGGTTAAATTGTGCCTCGTCTGTGTGTCACTGAGTGGAATTATTTTAAAGTATCTGGCCCAGTGGTAGCAGGATGACTGAGACTGACACAAAGCCAAACCGGGGATTTCTTTCCAGTTGTTTTGCTTGTCATAAAAAGCCTTATTTAATTTCCTTTACAGTAAACTGTCTGGCAAGTCTCTAATGAATCGGAAGAAACTGCTAAAGACCAACAAATTACATATTTTCATATATATATATAAACTACGTGTGTGTAGCATCTTCTCCTGTAAACCAACACACTGCTGAGTGCATGTTGTTCCTTTAATGAGATAAATCAAATAATCTAATAAAATGAGATCTATTTCTTTCTAAAACAGGATTTTATGCAGGAACATTAAAAACTGTAAGACTTCCATTTCTTCTAGTGGAGACAGATGTGAAGGGTTTTTGTTGGCTGTAGTTTCTAATCTGATGGAAACTCAGACGGACACACGGCTGAGCTGAGCTTCAAACACGATTCCAACTTCTCATGAGACTAGAAACAATACGAGTTATTATTGTTTACTATAATCTTTGTCAACTCTTCCAGCAAAATTCTAAATAAAGAGAAACACAGATAAATATTCAGCGGCTTGGACAGAAATCCCATCACTGGAGGTTCTGCTCCATCTGCAGGCTGCAGCTCCACCTGTCAAATGACTTCAACACACAACCAACGCACTTGTTTCCACTGAAGTCATGTTTGGACACAACGGGCCAAAGGACCGAACCGGGAGGAGGCTGCACAGGAGCACGCGCACACACACACACACACACACACACACACACACACACGAGAGGAGCGCATCCTGTCGCCATTTTCCCAAAGCTAAATTACAAAGACTGGAGCACACACCCCTCTGCCATCTCCTGCCTGCAGCACATGTTCTGCTCATCACAACCCGCTCATAGACGTGCATAAGATAAAACTGTGGGACGTGTCAAGGTGAAGGACCGGGGCGGGGAGACAAAAGCGCGTCCGGGCGCAGCGGAGAGCAGCTTTAATGACCATCTCGCCTTGTTATAGCAGATGGCTGCACACACAGACAAATAGCTCGCCATATTTCTTGATTGACGTGTGACGTATCCACACAGGTAAGAGTCCAGATTTGAAATCGTGTCGCTGACCACAGCGGCGGCCAATCAGCGGGCAGCGGGGGCGGGGCGCGGCGCCGTCAATCATGCAGGAACTATAACGGTTTGAATGGGGGGGAGGGAGGAGGGGGAGAATCCAATCCGGTTTCAGCTAGTTCTCCTTCCAATGGAACATTAAGGTCTGGCTGCGCTGAGCTGTTCTGGCACCGCGCTGTCCCGAACTCTCCTCTAGCCTGTATTGTGTCACTTAGCTCGGTTCTTCTCTGTACTAAGCGCCCCACACAGACCAGCCATGCCTAAACGGAACACAGTGAGTAGGCCGATGTCTTTCATGCATTCAGTGATACAGTGTGTAGAACCACGGCTGCAGCTTGCTGGACGGTTCGCCGGAGCTCGGTCCGTCCAGTGAGCGGATGTCAGGCTGCTGAGCAGAGTTCAGCTGGAGGCTGCTGTGTGCTGTGATTGGGTCAGGTGCTGGTTCTGCTGCCTCTCTGTCGTGCGCTGCTTATCTTTGTGCCCGGTGCTTTGCTGTTGTTGTTGTGGTATTGTGTTGTTCTGAACCCGGCTCGGCCGTGTGAGCTCGAACCCCTACTCTTGGACAAAGCGGGTCGTCGTGGGTCGCTGGACGGGTTTGTGCGGAGAAAGTTGGCGGCAGATCGATTGTTTTGTGCGGCTCGTCACGCTGGTGCTGAAGTTTCTCTCAGATCCACTCACAGCGCGTTACTGGGCGGGATCTGCCGGTTCTGTGGGTTCTGCTGTGGTTGGTGCTGTTTGCGGTTTCCTCGGTGAACAAAAACCACTTAATGTGCTTTAATTAACGACGTTCTTCAGAAAGCTGGCGTGCGTGTGCGCGTTAATACGTGAGCGCGCTCATTTTCAGCGGTGAGAGCGCGGTGGCGGGAGGCGCGGAGCCGCGGTACCGGCGGCTCGGGCCGCTCGGAGGTTATGCAATGGCGAGCCTCCGTCAGCACAGCGCTGCTCCTGTTGCTGGGGTTCTGGGAGATTCTGCACCGACAGGCAGCAGCTCGGAGTGACTCTTTTCAAATTCATGGCGGGAACACGGAGTCGCTCGCTCGGGTTTCTCCGGACACTGGCGGTCCCGTTTATTACCAATGAATGGATGTGTCGTGAGGAGGCGGAGCCGCCCCCTCCTCCACCGGAGTCCCACAGCAGGCGGACCACTAGCAGGAGCGGAGAGCACCAGCAGCACCACGTGACGCCGGTTCCACGACGTTATGGTCCCGCAGCACCGCCACGCTCCGGCTGGTGTCGTCCAGCGTGTCAGAGGCTGCTCCGCTTGTTTGTTGTTCCTGCGCGTGCACGTGTGGCTCCTCAAGGAGCGGCGCCGATGTGTTGCTAGGTAACACGTGACGTGTGCAGCTGTAAACAAACCGCTGATCTTTAATGTTTAAATGCACCGAGCGGGTCCCGCGCTGGGATCCACGGTGACAGTTAGGATCCCATCACAGCCTGGTGGCACACACATCACAGGTGAAGCTCGGTGTGCAGCCATAGGTTCACATTCTGCCTGGAAACGCCCACTTTGGAGTTACATAACTAATCCTGAAGCCCCTTCCCCATCCCACCACCAGTTACCCCAGCAGGCATCACTTCTCTTCACCTCATCTTCTCTTTTGTGTTTTTCTCCCCAGGCAAATTCAGGAGGCGACTCAGCAGTAAGTACATGTTAGAACTTTATATTTTTGTGGGATGTCTTGTGTTCAAAAATAACAAACAGTGATGGTGTGCACACCCACCAGGGGTCAGTAGCAGCCCACCACCAGAGCCAGGGGCTGAATAATAAAAGTAATCACCTTGTCTGCTCTCTCTGTCTCTGCAGCCCAAGAGGAGATCTCTCAGGTTGAAAGATGTGAGTACGACAAAGCCCAGCCTGTCCCACACATCATGCATGCTGTTCACTGCATCCTTGGTGCTGACATTGATGTTTTTCTTACCTCACAGAGACCCGCACCTCCAAAGGCAGAGGCCAAACCCAAGCCAAAGGTAGGGCCTTATTTTGAGCACTTCTGATTAGAGGCAGTCGTCCCAACTGGTAGCTGCTGGTTGCTGATGTGGTTCATGTTTCTGTTTGCAGAAGGGACCTGCTAAGCCTAAGAAAGCTAAGGAGGTGGAGAAGGCCAAGCCTGAGGAGAAAGCGCCAGAGGCCCCTGCTGAGAATGGCGAAGCCAAAGCTGAGGAGGAGGTAAGAGTGCTGCTATCATGTTCAAACACAACATTTCTGTCCTTGGTGGAAGCTTGACTGACTGTTACCTTCCAGGCACCCGCTACAGACGGAGCTGAACAAAAAGACGAGGCAGCAGAATAACACATCTCCAGCCACGTCTTGTACCAGTGCTCCCTGTACCTCTTTTCTTGTACAATTCAGGGGAATATTTTTATCAACTATTTTCTAAATACAGGTTTTTTAGTAGTTTGATTGTAGAGAACACTTTTTTTTAATGAAAGAAAAAAGTCAATTTGGAGACGGGAAGTTCATCACATCCCACAATTTTGCATCGCCATGAAATTTGCGGTCATTGTCGTTACTGTCAGTGGATTTAATTTCAGTTTTAAATGTGAAGGAGGGGAGGGTTTGGGACAGGTTACTGTGTCAACACGCAAGCATGACGTTCACAGGAGCTGGGAAACAACCGCTTGTTTGCCTGCGTGGATTACATTCCATATGCTTTATAAGGGACAGTGTGTGTAATCTGGGGTGGGACGGACAAAGTCACCGGGCAACTCATTGTTTTATTGTTTATAATGAAAAACAGTGTTTTAGAATGTTTGTAAGCTTTGTTCCTCTTTGTTAACTCTTGTACTCATGCAGTTTTCTTAACAAATCTGATCAATAAACCTAAAGTCCCTCGTACTGGAGCTCTCCCTTTCAGAACTGTGCATCGCGTGTGTTGGTTGTGTCTCTGTTCTGTGATAGCATTGCAATAAATTTGTATAGCTGCTGTGAAAAGGGTTTTCAATCTTTCTATATGCAGTGTGTAATGGTACATTGTAAGGATGGTAAAAATGGAATTTGTTTTGTTAGCCAAGCTAATGAGGTATGTAACCATGAAAAACAAACTGTTGAGAGCGGCTTCCTAAAGGCCGACAGACAAACTGTACATTTATTTGAAATGTCAAATGCATACCAGCAGTAGCAATATTCATGTGGGTTTTAGGTATCTGTATCAAGTACAAGTGTGCAGTTTCTTTTTGTTTATAGATGTACCTGTGTAATGATTGTTATCAACAAACCAATAAAACTCCGTTGGTAGTTGCTCTGCTGTCTCATTCTGGAAAGTCAGGACTGCTGGTGAAGGTCCGTCTGGAGAGCATTCAGATCAGGACGCTTTGAACACATTAAACTGATAAAAAAACAACTTAGATCTCATTTCAGACCAGGATATCAGATCATTCAACATTCTGACAAAATGTCTAAACCTCACCTTTTCAAAATGTGCATTTTGGTTGAGATTTTAAAAAAGCTCCTTAAAGTCAGGCTACAGGTATTGATGCAGCCTTTCTGCAGGAACAGCTGCTGAGCCAAAGTGCCCCCAGTACAAACCAGTATGATCTGCATTTTAAATATACTCAGGTTTAAATATGAAGACAGTGAACTGACTTGAGTGGGTTAAATATTGCTGTTCAGGCTCTACAGTAATAAATCCTAAGTGACCTGATTAAATGAAATATTAAGGTTAAGAAACTACAGCATCCTTCACTAATGATCCCATACCACGGCTAGGAACCTGCAGTAGTACAGCACCGGGCCACAGCCCCTCAGAGAACCCATCCTCCACCAGGTCCAGCCCGTGGTCCTGTGGCTCCATGTCACCGTCTGGCCCCAGTTCGGACCTCTCTCCTACAGTCTGCCCCCAGATGTGGGCCTGGTGAACATACCTCACAGATACAGAGGAGCTTCCAGACAGGACCGGTCCAGTCTGAGCTTTATCAGTGTTCGGGGAGGACAGACATGGACAGAACCGGTCCTGTCTCCAGCAGGCTGCTCTTCAGCGCGGTCCCACTAACAGCAGCTTTCAGCACCATGGACAGCTTCCCGCAGCTCGGCCAGCTGCTGCCTGCCTGGACCCGGTTCTGTTTTCACATCCTCCGGTTATCAGGACGACATGTCGCCCCGGTGTTGGTAAACAAACCGATCGTGTGCGTCCTGACGTAACTGGGACGCAGCACGTCGCCCGGCGGCTCCGCTGTGATTGGTCCGCGGAGAGAACAAGGGGACGGCAGCGCGGTGGATTGTCGGTAATCTGCGTCCCGGTGAACCGGGCCAGAGCTTCTCAGGCTGCGTTAAGAACACGCTCAGTACGTCTTTGTTTCATTCAGAGTTCAACCCTGTAACCAGCAAAGCCTTTGTTTCTGGCGACGGGTCTAACCGCCTTCAGCCAATGAACACCGAGCACGCGAACACGTGACCGTGTCACTTGAAATCCACGTTATTCAATCATTGATGTTATTTCTTAACCCGTCCAAAGCCTTCTCCCAACCATGGAGGAGAGACATCTAAAGCCCTACATATGTATTATTTCTTCTGTCTTTGTTCAACATGCTGGAGCTGGAGGTGACCATCCAGTGGCGCTGATACCTCCTAAAACATCATCTAATGTTCATTCAAGTGCTTAAAGCAGATGAAGACAAACCAGTTACACAGAAAAGACAAAACATGTGAAACTTGGTCATTCACATATTGAGGGAAATGGTCCCATATTTCATACCAGTGAAGCTGCTGGACTGGAAGCTGAACTACAGTCACCCAATGGGGTGTGAGCAGGTATGAGCAGGGATCCTATTTTATTAAGAAAAAGGGCAAAAAATTCATCCCAGCTGTGAAGCATGATGGTGCTGCCATCATGGTTTTGACCTGTTCCACTGCATCTGGGATAGAAGATAAAATTCTGGATGATATGAGCCAAACCCATGAGGGACAACATCTGACTGAATGGAGACAGCAGGTCCCACAGCAGGACAACAACCCGGAGCCCAAAGTCAGCTGTTCTAACAAAGAGGGACGAAGAAGTATAAAGGGAGTGAACCTTAATCCAACAGAAATGAATGAATGGAGTTCAGATTCCTCTAAGCTGATGTGCAAACAGGACTATAACAGGTACAGAACAAGGTCTCCATGTTAGTCCAGGATGTCCACACCATCCATCCATCATCTCAACACCTTCATCCTCACCAGGGTCATGGGGGGCGGAGTCTATCCCAGCTGACTCAGGGTGAAGGCAGGTTCACCTGGACAGGTAACCAGTCTATCACAGGGCTACACTTAGAGACAGACAACCAAGCACACTCACATTCACACCTACGGACAATTTACAATCACCAATTAACCTCAGCATGTTTCTGGACTGTGGAAGGAAGCCGGAGAACCCGGAGAGAACCCACACTGCACGGGGAGAACATGGAGACTCCACGCAGGAAGATCCTGGGCTGAGATTCAAACCAAGGTCCTTCTCGGACCTTCTGTGAGGCGACAGTGCTAACCGCTGGTCCACCGGGGGCGAAGGCTTGTCCTTATTTTAAGCATCCCATTTATTCTCCAATCAATCAATATCAACACTAAATACATAAATGTTCCACATATGTCTTACGTAGCTGCAGTTTTCTAATTCCTGGCACAAGAGTAACTTCGTTTTTCATAAATTCTGTTATTTTCAGAGCATCATCAGAAAGAAACGAACCGCCGTCAGCATTCCCTGTAAATACATAGAAGTACATCTGAACTCTGATGTGTCTGAACTGATGACGTGTAGCGTTACCCTGGGTTCTAACGAGGTTCCTTCATGTGTGTCCTTCTTTATGATGTATTCTGAGAACGGGTGAAAGCTAATGATAGTGAACGACAGCACGCTGTCAAAACTGACCTGGCTTTGACCTGGACGAGTATATCGGCTGACTTTAATCCAATAGAACACCTCTGGGGTGTTTTAAAGGGAAAGGTGGAGCAACACAAGCCTCCCAGCAAAGAGCAGCTGAACAACTAGTGTCTGAAGAGTGACAGAACATCTCTGCAGAACTGCATGGACAGTAGTGTCCTCCACACTGAAGACGACCGAGTTTGGAAAATAAAAGAAGAAAAGATCTGAATCTCACTAATGAAAGCTGTACTGACGTGTACTGCATTGGCTTCCTGCTGTGGGGTTTTAATACAGTAAATCTGAACACTTTAATGTGACAGAACAGCAGCTTGTAAAGACCACGTACATCATGTTTCCACTGACTCCTGTAACTCATCACTTTCTATGAGGAAATCACTGAAACACGTACACACTGGTCACAAAAACCAATCATGCATTTGGGTTCTTTTGTAGACGTTTCAGGACATTTTTAAAACATTGCTGATTGACTCCTCTGAGCTTCATTTGAATAGCACTCCTTTGACACAGCCGGGCTCTGAGGAGCTCAGCACAGAGCTGAAAAAGCAAATCATAGACTTCAACCAGTCAGGAAAGTCATTTGGAGCCATTTCAGAGGCAAAATCATCTGTGCAGACAACTGCTTGTAAGTATAAAGTGCACAGAACATGACAAGATCAGGAAGAAAACACAAACCATCACCTGCTCCAGACAGACGGTCCGTCAGGATGGTCGAGAGTCAAACAAGAATCACCACAAAGCAGGACTGCAATGAATGAGAAGCTGCTGGACCACAGTGTCCACCGGCAGCAGAGCCATGAGCTGAGAGCCTGCCATGCAAGAAGGACCTTCCTCTGGATTTACAGCTTCAGGCTCCACTGAAGGCTTCTGCTGATCACATGGGTGAAGGAAAGGCCTCCTGGAGGAAGGTTCTGTTTAACTTGGCCTCAGTGGCCAGCAATATGTTTGGAGGAGACAAGGTGAGGCCTTTAACCGCAAGAACACCAAACCTACCAGCCAGCATGGTGGCAGCAGTATAATAATAATAATAATCATCATTATTAATGAACTTTTGTGCTAAAACTCTGGAAGGCAGTCCACTGGATCTGTGCGTCAGACTGCTGAAGCTCATGCTAGCTTTGGATCAACCAACAGGGTTTTGCTTCCAATGGAGTCGCATTAGACATGATGACAGTTAGGGATCCTAATAATGCCCCACGTATGGACGTACCAGTCTCACCGTAAGACTGGCTGAAAATAAAGAAAACACAAGTGTGGCGTGATGCGAGCAGCTTTCAGGGGGTTTTGCATCTTCAGGGTGATTCATGGCATCTTCTGAGCTGACAGCAGAACTGCAGAAACAAAGTTCAACCAAAGCCCATTCACAAAACAAAACAAGCCAAAAAAAACTCAGTAGATTCAGATTTATTAGATTCTGGAGAGTCCATTGTACAAGTCCAGTAAGACACAGATGTACCCAAATGGTACAGGCTACTGCAGACTCCTTAACGTCAGAGCTGACAGATGACAGACGTGTCAGAGAACAATCTGCTGCTGGAAGTGCTTTTCACAACTACAGTGGCAGCGACATTATCAGCTGCTGTTTAATCAGTCAGTCAATAGAAACATGTGGGATCAGAAAGGCCTACGAAGAATGCACGAAACCATTATTCTGTATCATTTAGCATCCGAGTGTGTAGAAAAATAGCACATTCTCTAATCACGAAACAATGCGCCTTACAGGATTTTAAAAATACTTGAGGTATTAGTGACAAGAATGCTGGAACATGCTAACACGTTTGTGCTAATAGACAAGGATCCTAGAAAATACAGACTGTTCAGTAAACATTCATTAAGTTCAACAGAAGTGAGGATGCAACGAGCAGCACGGACACGAGAAAATCCTCCTACAGACTTAAAGACCTTCATGTTTGTGTATACAGTCGTCATAGAGCAACGAAATGTGACTGCATGTGAAGACTAAAGCTGTGTGTGGTTAACTGACTGTGAATTTAAGATGATTTACCCACCCTGAGTGTCTACATGTCCTCCTATTAGTCCGTTTGTCGTTGTGTTTGGTCGAACTGGAGTTGTAATAATGTGCAGTATTCAGCCATCAAAAGTGCAAGAACACCATCTGTTGAGTCACCAGCAGGACACCGACACCGGGCTCGTTTCTACAAGACACTTTAGTCCGTTTTCTCAGCAATCCGTCCCATTTTGGTGCGCATGTTCCGCACCAGGAAGAACCCGACAGTAGCGACGGCCATGACCACCTCGGCCACCCAGAAGGCCATGTCCCAGCTGTGCTGCTTGGCAATGGTGCTGAAGGGAAGCCCCGCCATGAAGGCCCCCACTGCGACAGACAGAAAGCTGGTTTAGGCACAGGAAGGTGTAGCAGCCGTTCACGACAGGATTCACTGAAAACGTAACAACATTTGTACTTACCGTGACCAGGAATGTGATAAAAGCTAAAGTCTAGTAACTCTGACAAACGCTGCTGACTGATGTGGTCAGAGCACGGTACTGGTGATGTGATGCCATTCAGGCGGGTCATCTTGTTTCTCAAACCTGATCAGGTAATACTTCTGACTGATGTTGTAATACGGTGTTCATTTACAGTCCACAGCTCTTCACACTGTGGCTTGCACTGTTTGGGTGAAGCGTAGACCTACCGAGGACAGGGACCTAAACATCACTAAACCTTCACTTTCTCCCTGATGTTAGAAAAGTTTCTCATGAAAACAACCACAATGCAATAAAAGCATTAGAAGCATTCAGAAGACCTACATCAGCCCGTATGACACACATCCAGCTGGTCATAAAGGTGTTTTATGTCACTTTCAATGTCAAGCTGACATAATTCCAAAAACCCGACCCCTAACCTGAACCCTAACCTGAACCCTAACCACAGAGCAATCGGTCCCGTATGTGGAGCATCTCATTCGAGCGCTGAGGTCTAATGAGTTGATGGTTTACAGGTGAGCTGGGAGTGGCCTCTCCTCAGAACGACCGGATTTTGGGCTCAATCGGTGCGAAACTATCTCGGCTGGAGGTCTTAAAAACGCTGACCACCATCAAAATGGTGGAAGGTAGATTTATGGTATCTGGTGCAGACGAGCGGCCGCGCTGGGGCTTTCCGTTGATGCTACATCTGACCTTGGATGATAATTCAAGGTCAAACTCGAGGTCACACATTTTGAAAGTGGTGCAGGATGGACCCACTGTTTGTATCAGAACCCACCTACAGGCCTCCACCGGGGAGGGAACGCTGACCTTGGGTGATATTTTAAGATCGAACTCAAGGTCACATTTTTTTCGACGTTGCCATTATATTTGAAATAACATGTAACGTGTACATAGACGCACCAAGTTCACCTCAGACAGCCAGCCAAGCACCACTAGTGAAAGAAAACAGCTACCACGCAGGAGCAGCTACAGCCCTCCACTGATGGAGCTCCTACAGCGTGGGGCTTCATCACATTTCCCATCAGGGGAAGTGCAAACTGTATTACATCGTTAGTAAATTATTACTGGCTGGGACACATGTCAGTGCTGAAACACGACGATAGGGCATTTCTGCTGGTCACATGACACTGAAGCTCACCGTTAGCCATCAGAGCTACAACAGCATGAGAAGTTCCACAGAAGTTTGAAGGAGCACTTTCACTGGCTATCACCCCAAACAAGGCAATTGGTCCGTAAGAAGAAAATCCAAACGCAGCGCCGAGGAGCAGGATCCAAATCTGTGGAGAAAACAGATGTTCAGGAAGGCTTTCTGATGACATTCTGTTGTGTTGTCCACGTTAACCAAAGCATTTCTGAGCTCTGACCTCTTTCTCTGACACCCCGATGAGGACAGACACAGGATGAATGACTTGGACCCAAAGAGGAGCCTCCTGAGCAAAGACATGAGCTCGTATAAGACTTTCAGAACCAGCAACATGAACATTTGACAGATATTCGACCGGCCATGGAGCCAAGCTACCTGGGGGACCTCAGGGGTGATGGTCACTCTGAAGAGGTACATGGACACATACATGCCAGCCATCATGGCAATGAGCAGGCCATGGCGAGGGTTACCGTGGGTGCCCAGGCCTTGCTAGAGAAAGGCAAAGAGAGAACCTTTAAGACTGAAAAGATATCCAACAAACAGCAGCCACAGTTTGAGTCACCAAGTTCCAGCTGAGACAACATGTTTGTGGATCTCTGATTGAGCTCTTATTTACTTTACAGTCACACAATAACACTGAGCAGTGCACCTCTATTGGACCGGTGCTGGTTCCTGCCCCCTCCTCCTCCATTATTCCCTTTCTGCTCAGAGCTACGTAGATTGTCTGGTTCTGAACGAGTCACGGTTCCTGCTGGGCAGGTCACCGTACATCTTACTGACTCTGTCTAAAGCACACACCAACTGATGAGTAAAAGAACATTTTCTCATTTAAATGCTTACTTTACCCACTTGCAGTGAAGGTTGACAACCATTTCAGCGTATGCTTCTCTAACGTTTGTCTAACAGTCACACCTGCAGTGGGAACCTAGCCCTAACCCAAGGTCGACAGAAACATCTGATCAGTTCATTTAGCAGCTTGTAAGTCATGTAAAGCTCCTGCTCCCCGCTCGCTCATCTCTGATGTTCCTACGTCTGGATGCTGCCTCCTGTAGACGGCTTGAATGACTCCTGGATCCTAACACACTCTGTAGCTGCAGCCAGCGAAGCCTTTTCCTTTGCTTGGTACCTTCCCTGCACCGTCAGCTGTGGGTTTTCTCTTTGGCCAGTACTTTGGCCTGAGTCCCAGAGACTTTCAGATGCTAGCTGCTACTACAGATGTCACTGGCCGTGTCACTGCAGCCAACATGGCCGACAGAGTACCTGTACATAGGCAGACTATGAACGCCGTGGTTAGGAAAAAGACATTGGCCCAAACTTCCCGGTGGCCGGACTGCGCCTGACCCCCGTCCTTGTTGGTACTCACCCGAGCTACAGCTCTGTCTGAGATGAAGCCTGCTGCAAGGCTGCCCACAAAACCTCCCACCTCCAAGGCACTCATGTAGGTACTGCCTGTTAGCAACACAGCCGATGTCAGCACCTGTAACCATGATACCACAGCCAAGTGAGAAGCACCACTTTAAATGCATACCCATGAGAACGGTCTGGCCTTTCTCCTGCATGAGGAACAGCTGTCCCCAGTCGGTGGCTGCCGTCTTCACTCCGAACACCACCAAGTACCCCAGAGACAGCACCCACAGGAAGGGAGAGAGGAGGAACTCGCTCAGGGTGCTCTCACCGTTACCTGGTGTCACAAAAACCCACATTAACAACAGACCTGTTGTGTGTGTGCAGGATAATCACAGTCATGCATGTACTGCAAAACTATCTCAGCTTCATGTTCTCCAGCATGCCTGTCACACGGCGTGACCAAGTCCCATCTACATTCACTGATCTTATTATACTGTGTACATTCATCAGTTCTGAACTAGGTCCAGCTTTATGCACATCACTGCATCGATCTGATACAAACTCCTATAAAGTCTGGCAGCACCCAGCGACCCATGCTGCCATCTTCTGGTGACAGTAAGTAGAGATCTGGGCTGCATCTCCATGGCCCTAATTCTGACTCCTAATTGGAGGAAGAAGCTGAAATCTGTGATCTTATCTCTGCCCAAAGAGTTGTGCGACTGGCTCAGTGACTGTATTTAGGAGGACAGTCAGCTCTGGAAATCCTGCGATGCGTCACCACAGTTACGCTGGAAACAAGGTGACAGACTTCACGTTAGCTCATGAGCTGCTCTGGTTCTGTTTTAGCCTTTGATTGGTCCTACTTATTAATGTGTGAACCATTCACTAGTATCTATGGACAGTGAGCAGGACGTGCAGCTTTCAGACACTAACCAATCATCAACATGTGTTCGTGCCACTTTGGTTCCTTTGTGGACTTGTTGAGGACACAGCAGGGTGCATTCAGATAAAGTGTCTGACAGCAGAGGCAGTGAGCTGTCTGGTAAACAGAGCGTGCTTTCAGACGCTGCCCTCTTAGGACACATGTTCCAGTTACCAGACGTGTGTCATACAAGCAGAACCTACTCACAGATATCACACGTGTACGCAGTAACGCTGTTGGAACGCTATAACACAATGAGGACTAATACATCACCAAGTGACCAGCATGCTGAACATGTGCAGCGGTACCAGAAGTGGGTCTCCACTGGGTGCTCGGCTCACCTTTCTTCACCCCTTTCTTGGCTGCTGCCTCGACGCTGGGCAGACCCACATCCGTCGGCTCATTCTTCACAAACACCAAACAAACAAAGGAGAAGGCAGCACAGAACACGCCCGACATGGTCAGGATGGTCCTCCAGTCGTAGTACTGCAGCAGCACCGTGACCAGGATCGGGCCCAGACTCCCAGCCAGGTTCATGCTGCAGGACAGCACAGACCACCATGTCCCAAACTGGGAGGGCTCGTACCACTGAGTGGAGAGAGACAGGACAAAACAACAGTCAACGTCTCTGACATCCTCGACTGCAAACAGAATCAGAGCATGCAGATCAGTCTTCACTTGTAACCAGAACATGTTGCACATATTGTTGACTTCAACCCACAGATCCTAAACATGCTGCTGCACATGGGTCGGTTCTCTTTAAGGGGACTTTCAGGACACAGAACCAGAAATCCTATGATAATCGGACCCTCTAATAAACAGACTTTCTCTTTAAAAAGTGCAACACTGCTCAGATTTGTATTGTTTTTAATTCAACTGCTTCTAGAGAAATGGCACCAGAGGCCCACGGCCTCATGAGGTAATCCATCTGAACACGGCCATAAACATTCCTCACACAGCGTCCCCACCACAGGAACCAGTAACCTGAGAGTCCAGTTAAGGCGGATTTAGCAGCGTGTTGATCAACGCCGTGTGGACGTCGATTCAGCTGCAGGACAGATTCTGAGCTGTTACAGGTTCTGGAGAAAGGAAGCTCCTTTGCTCAAAGTTGCTCCTTTCTTTTAAAAGCTCTGATGAGAATCCTCTATAAATACATTCTCCTGTAATCTGATCTCGCGCTGCTCCCTGGACACATGACAAAGCCTATTTATTGCCCCGCGTCTGAACACTGCCACCTTTAAGGCAGCTTCTGAGAAGCCTCCGGCTGTCTTAGAGAAGAAGGCAGGAGGGTTTGCTCAGAGATATGAACGCTGAAAGCAGCTCTTACAGTTCACACCATTCACTGCACTAACACCTCAATGATCCCAGAATGCACTCAAAGCAAATCCCACAGCTATTTATATATGAGACCTGACAGATTATTAGCTAATCCCTTAATTTCTCAAACCACTACCGCCACCGGCATTACTACTCTTGGCTCGTCTAATCAGCGTCTCGTACGGCTGGCCGATGGCTCCTCCAGTCAGACGGAGTGACCTCCGTCCCAAAGGGCAGCAGGAACAGGATTCCTCTGAGTGCAACTAACAGACAGGTGCAAGTTCTGTCAGAGTGCAGACACACAGTATGTCAGGCAGCAGGTGGTGTCCAGGCCGGAGCGACACAGCTCCACTGGCTGCCCACACTGACCACAGCACCACCAGCAGCCTGCATGCTGACAACCGTACGCTGGGTCAGGGATCTGCTGCATGACGGCGGTACTACCTTGCGCAGCACCTTCCCACAGGGGGGCCAGCCACAGCCTTGTCCCAGACCGTTGATGAACCAGAGCAGAGAGAACATGGACACAGTGGAGCACCAGGAGAAGACCACGTTGATGCCTCCGACCACGAAGAGGCCGATGGAGAAGAGCCAGCGGGCGCTGATCTGATCGGACAGCACGCCGCTGATGAACTTACTGATGGCGTAGGCCATGGTCTGGCTGCTGGTGATCAGACCTGCAGAGATACAACGAAGGTCAAAGCAATGCACAAACACAAACTGTCCTAAGAGACACGGGCTGCTGCTAGCTTAGCCTACATGCCAACTGGAGATGTTTATGTCGACCTGTTAGCTGTTACTAACAGATAATGCAGAAGACCAGGGATGTGCATGTCAGTAAACGTTTAGTACAGCAGCGGCTGTGCAACCAGGTGGAGCTTCTTACGCTTTCATGAGATGCAGACCTGCAGCTGGATTGCTGTGTTTGATGCTGCAGCGACCCATGAACCAGGTCGGACTGCAGATCAATGACAGGTCAGAGTTTACCGGGACACCTCCAACACCGGAGCAGCTACCACAGCTAACGGTACGAGCTGTTGGTCACAAGCTTCATGACAACAGGTTCACTGTGTTTCATTCTTATTGACGATTAATCGATTAGTTATTAATAATGTAGCTGACTATTGGTTAAAGTTTGGACCCACATAGCAAACAGCTGAAGACCAAGCAGCTGCTGTCATCAGTGGTTTACAACAGAGGGTCCAGCTCAGACTGAGACACCTCCTGTCTGCTGTTAGATCAGCATGAAGCTTTGTCGTGGTCCCCAGAAGGTGAACGTGACTGACTTCGGTGACTTTACCCATCATGAGGCGGACATGTTGGACCTTTAGTGAAACCACTTGACGAGTGGATCGAGACACGATGACGGCCTGCAGAGCATGAACCCTCCACTGGGCTTTCCAACATCACAGCATGTAAATACGTCAGACACTGATCAGCCAGCTTAGCGTTAAATGGTTGATGTCAGTATGTTAAACTACGATGGTGAGAGTAAATAAACACTTTCTGAACATAAGCCTGTTATTATTGTGAGCATGCTAACATTTAGCTCGTGTGACAGAGCTGCTGTAACCTCCTCCTGTGTTGGGCTACAGGTGGACTGTGTCGGGCTACAGGTGGACTGTGTCGGGCTACAGGTGGACTGTGTCCAGCAGCTGCCCTCGGCTGCTCATTCCTCTTGAGCCACCAGGTCAGGGTCTCGCCCACCCTGAGGTCAGGACTTCAGGAGGTATGTGCTGGGCGTAGCAGCAGCCTAACAAACACTCCACAGAGCTGGTTTATTATCAGACGGAGGAGGGATAAAACCACATCTCAGCTGACAGAACAACACGGGTTCGGGTGAACAAGCTGTGTCATATCTGGGCATTTCAGACGAGCAACAGATTAAAGGACGACTGCACAGAGTTTCCCTTGAAGTCAAACAAACATTCAGTCAGTGCTTCTTTCTTACCCAAGTCATCTTTGTCCAGCTCCACCTCCTCCATCACAGAGGGCATGACGAAGGAGAAGGTCTTCCTGTTGAAGAAGTACAGCGAGTAGCCGATGAACATGCAGATGAAGATGACCACGCGGTAGTAGCCGTAGCCTGCCGCCGCCATGGTCGCAGGTGATCCAACAAAAACTGATTTCTATGTTCAGCGGGGTCTCGTGTCTGGGTCCTCTGGCCTCTAGATTACAGCCAGTCAGAAGTGGGCATCATCAGGCAAGTTGTCTGCAGTGGGAGGGATGACAGAAGATGCAGCACGGCCCGGCGGGGGAGGTTCTGTCCATGGAAGCAGTGTTTGGAGCAAACGTCCTGCAGGCTGGAGGCCCGGCTCGCTGTGAGGCTGCTGATCCTAGAACTGAGGGCAGAGGGAGGAAACCTCACACCGACCTGAAAGTGAGAACAACACAAGCACCAGCTGGTCACACCGGGTCACGTCAGAACTGCACAAGTTTGATGCAGTGATTGAGCAGATGAAGGACGGCTGAATGACACCCTGCTGGAGCGGACCGCTGGCTGTAACACTATCTGGGGCTACCCTCCTTCCTGTCAAGCCTTTCTCCATGTTGGGGCTGGTGATGGTGCCGGCCGGTGGACCCAGACCCGGTTACATCACCAGGTGCTGTTTCAGGATAGAGTGACATGTTGGACCTGCAGCTCAGCTTCTTCTGTGTTTCTCTTTATTACAAGGCTGCCATGTGAATGTCAAGCTGCCCCTTTAAGTGGCTGCAGTCTCCGCTCAGCAGCACTAAAAATATCAGCTGTCAGGGAGCCTGAACGCAGCACAGCCTTTTATTTTAGAGCTGCAGGACGTGAGGCCCTTACATGGCCCAAAAGGATCATTTACAGACAGCCAGCAACTTCTGTTAGCTTCACATTGACTGATATTGTGACCGCGCTCTGAGGGATTATTTAACACTGGACCGACAGCAGCCCTGCTAACAGCACCGGGTCGTGGCGAACTGATTTCTGCGTTCAGAACCTCTCAGCCCGACTAATGCTGCCATAAAGCGACGCCGTGATGCAGCTGCTGCTCCGGTTCTCCGTCTGGCTGCTACGCTCACCGAGGAAATGCCCGTTACCCCGTTACCCCGTTACCTTCCATCGTCCCTCCGCTGATCGCATCCATGCTACAGGACGAGGCGCGTTCACGCATCTGCAGCTCTATGGGCGCGTCCCCGTGAGAGACGGGGAAGGGGGTCACAGCCACCGTGGCGCGCACACACACACACACGCACACACACACACTCGTGCATGTGAAGCGGCCACGTGGCGGCAGCTCTCCGGCGGAGGTCAGAGCTCGCGCCGCCAAACTCCAGATTTAAGGTCGTCGCTGGTCACCACATGGTCAAGCTCAGGATCTTGCATGTTTTAGAATCAGCTGGGCCTGCAGCTGAATACGGCGGAGCTGACCTTCTATTGTGCAATAAATCTCCCCATTCAGCCCTGCTGCTCCCTGCTGCCCTCCTGTGGCGGCGCGAGGCTGCAGCAGGACGTCTGAAAACTAAGACTTTCTCTAAAAATCCTCCCAGTAAAGGTCCTGCATTCAGAAACCCCCTGAAGTAAAAGTACAGCTAAAGGTTATAGTTTAAAGTGAAAGTAGTCCACATGCAGGTGTGGACTGTTGGAGCGGCTCAGCCCAGGTGGACACGGTGAAGCATGTTCTGGTCCAACTCTGGGCCTCTGCACAGGGTCAGAAGGAAACTTGAACAAATCTTTGCTGTCTGTGAGAAGTTTACAACAGAAACGTCTCTTGTGGTAGAACTGCTAAGAACGGACCGACTAGAGTCCAAACTGATGTTCTGCTGGAGTTCACCAGCCACAGACTGGAACCCACTGGTTTTTACTAATGCACTGAAGTTTATGAGATTCTTAGAAGAGCTTCACACATTTACCCACAACATACACTCCCTCTTTTCATCCTTGATTAGGACTCAAATAAGTTCCATCCATCCATCATCTCTACACCTTCATCCTCACCAGGGTCATGGGGGGCTGGAGTCTATCCCAGCTGACTCAGGGTGAAGGCAGGTTCACCTGGACAGGTAACCAGTCTATCACAGGGCTACACTTAGAGACAGACAACCAAGCACACTCACATTCACACCTACGGACAATTTACAATCACCAATTAACCTCAGCATGTTTCTGGACTGTGGGAGGAAGCCGGAGAACCCGGAGAGAACCCACGCTGCACGGGGAGAACATGGAGACTCCACGCAGGAAGATCCCGGGTGTCCTCACCGGGATGCGAACCAGCGACCTTCTAGCTGTGAGGCCACAGTGCTGACCACTGATCCACCTGCAGCCTCTGAATTAAAATCCTTCTCCAATAAAAGCTTTAAAAGGAAAAACCAGCAGAAGACCACCTGAGGAGGGCGGTTCTGACAGGACGGGCAGACGTGCAACAGAACAGCGACAGATGTAGGATCATGAAGACCAAACTATAGACTGTATGTTAAGAACAACGGGCTCTTCAGCCTTCCAGCTCTGTTTCATGTTAGCTGAGTTTGTCATCACTCAGCAGCCTGCAGGACCAGAACCACTGGCCCAGCAGGACTGGGAGGCCCGCTGTGGTCACACCTGAGCAAAGTCAGTTCAAAACACATCAAAACAAGGAAACCAGGCGTTCCTGGAGAGAGTGAAACATGACTGCGTTATAACATTGTGGGTTTTTTTAATGAAGGTAGAATTAACGCTCTGAAACGTTTTGGCGCCGTGTGGGCAGCAGCTACAGCAACCTTGTTTGTTTTAAAGCTACACAGCTCACCACACACAGACCCAGTGAGCGCCACAGCTTCCCGTTATCACTGCCAGCTCATTGGTCCACCTTCACAAGCAGGCCACTCAAAGCTGAAATGGGTGAGGACCAGCGCCGTGTCCTGTGTGGGGAGTCGTCGCTACGCAGCATCTGGGGCTCGTCTCATGAAGAACGATTAACAAACAAAGATGCTGAGGACAAACATGAAAGTGTGTCCATGTGGAAGCAGCCGGCCCTAAACTGAAGCAGTGCTGTGCAGCTTGTTGGGCCCCAGTGGACCCTGTGGCGAGCAGCGAAGTCCTGGAAGAACAACTGTTGATACGTGGACGTCCCTGAGCAGCAAAAAGCATCATGAGTGCTGCTGGATTTAAAGGACTAGTTCACCATTTAGGAAACATTTGATGGAAACGGGATGAAACCACTGATACTGTGTTAAACCCAGTTAGCTGCAGCGAGGCGGCGATGAGCAGAGCCTCCAGACAGCCAGCCTGTTGAAAGCCTGAACCAGATCCTTCTGCTGCTGCTGCTCTGACAAAACTAAACAAACTTCAAACATAATTATATCATCATTTGGTTTCTCCAGATAGACGTCTACTATTGAACCGAATCCCTCCGTCCACAGCGCCGTGCAGCACACACACACACACACACACACTAACGGTTCATTGTGTGGTGTCATGGTGGAGACGTGAGCAGCACTCTGCCCTGATGCTGTTGCCCTGCTACCCCATCAGTAGCACACACTCAGTTCCCACACAGGAAAAGTGACTAAAGCCAACATGCAACCTGTTAAAAAACTAATCCATGAAAGATTTGTAAGATGTTCTGTTGTGAGACGCTGTTCTCCCACAGAGAGAACCCACAACCTGCTTCACACCGCAGGACAAACACACTCATGACAGAGAGTCGTCAATAACTACAAGGTTACCAAAGGTCACGGAGAAAACTGTTCAGGCTCATTTGTAGGGACATTTTAATTTATCACACTACACACACACACACACACACACACAGACTACACTACACACACTACACACACACACACACACACACACACACACACACACACACACACTACACACACACACACACACACACACACTGGGTGCAGTCCATGGTAAGGGGTTAACCCGTACCCCCTGGAGGTCCGTGCACCAGGACCAGCTGTCTGTAGACTTGTGCAGAGCTGGGCTCCTTCACTGCAGAGGCCGGTGGGTTCTGCTGAGCCTGGACAGGCTGCAGCAGGTGCTCTGTGTCCAATCAGGTATTTGCAGAGTTCCTGAAACAGGCTCAGCAACATTCATGCTGGGAGGACGTTGTTTACTGGTTTGACTGGAGAAGACTTCTCGTGTGTCGTATCCGTTCAGACCACAGTCGCTGTGTGAAGCTGTTCCTGACTGACTTTGAAGATGTTTGTTTTAAAGGTGGACATGTCAAAGACCAGGCCCGGGCTGAGGGGTTCGGCGCCACACACTGGTTGCTGGAATACACCACAAACAGCCTGAGAGCTGGTGTGAAGAGCCTGCTGGGTTCTGCTGCTTCTCGTATGTGCTCCAGCCGTGTGACTCAAACACATCCTCCATGAGTGATGTCAAACATAAACATAAGAACCAATTAATTAGAGACGATCCACGGACTGGAGGCGTGTTCCTCCCACACAGGCGTTAGTGGTTAACGAGTCTGTGGCTCTCATACGGGGAGGAAGTTCCAGGTGAAAGAAAAAGAAAAGGGGAGGATTAGAAATAAACTTCAGGGAGGATATAAAAGTCCATGATTTAAAGAAACTCCACCTGTAACGGCGGTCTGATCAGCAGCATAACACACGACCAGGTGTGTTTGTGTACAGGTGGAGGTCTGGTCTGTGGTTGTGTCTCCACACCGACGGGCCCCGACGGCCTTCTGGCCAACAGATGGCGCTAAAGCAACACGGCCGTTTGAGCGGATGTGTGGGTGGATTTCTTGTACATTTTAATGTGTTATTTAGCAGAACAAGTGTTTGTGAATCACTGTGCTTACATTCTCTCAGCGTTTCCTTCTGCTGTCTTCACACTAATCTGTGTTATTAATGTGCCTCGGTGAGCTTACAGTAAAGCAGTGAGAGTTAAACACTGAGACTACCTCCCACAACCTGCTGCTTTAACTCTGCTCAGACTAATAAGATGTTTCTAATCAGGCAGGACTGACCTGACAGAAGGCAGCACGTCGCCACGCAGTCCTTCTGTCTCATTTTATTGTGTTCTTACACCCTGAACACACACGACTGCATTTAACATGTAGATGATGGTCACTGGTCACTACATTCAAACAACATCCAGCAGTGAGTTCTTCAGTAGATCTACCGGGTCAGTGTCCAGCCCTGACAGCAGCACTCACATCTGGTCATGTTTGGAGGCACAGTGTTGGATCGCAAAAACACTTGTTCTAGTCCAGTGTTCTCCTTCTAGTCCAGTCACTAGTGTTAGAAACCCTCCATCCCACAGCACGCATTCTGAGTTAGAACTTTGGTGAGAATCCCTAAAATAAAAGGACTGTTTGTAGGAACAACAGCTGAGCTGGACAGAGCGATATGTGACTGATTCCCCACAACGTCCAGTCCAGGACTCACTGCATGCAAAGCTGAACGAGCCGATGTAAGCGTTCCAGCATCACACTGTCTGCTGCACTGAGCACACACATTCAGATCAGGTAGGAACTATAGTCACAACACCACCATGAGGGACTCTGCTCTGGCAATGACTGACCACTGAACACGAGGCTGCATCCATCATGTGGCTGCAGGCTTCTGCTGAGAAGCCTCGGGTCCTGACGTGCTCCTAAACATTACTGACGGGGAAGAAGACCTCCTCCTGCAGAACAACCTGCCACACAGCTCAGGAGCAGCTCGAGGAACATGACAAAGAGACCACAGTCCAGTCCAACCACTGAGCAGCTGCTGGATGCCTGATTCATGGGGAACCAGTTCCAGACTCCACGTCCCCGCCTGATGGGCCGGAGCTGCTTCAGAGGATCTCCACGTCATCAGGCAGGTGGTTTTAATGTTCTGGCCTGAGCCACACTGTCTGACGTCAGTATTCACATGAACGTAATGACAGGATCACTTTGACTTTTCCACAGAACATCCATCTTCTCTCGTGTCTCCGGCAGACTGGAAGCATTGATTACTGCTGAGAGTGACAGCCTGCAGTGTCCGGAGGGAGAACAAGTTTACAGCACTAAAAACACAAAGCTGACTCCTCAGAAAACTCAGGACATACACTATTTATATGCTGGTCAACAGGGAGCCGCGAGCGTTTGAACACTGCTGTTGTGGCGCAACCTACATACATACCTCTGCCTGCTGGTAAATTATTCAGGAGAAAGCCTCATAACTGTATTGTGGAATGAATTAAAGATTAATTTGCTCCCAAATGACAGAGGAGGCGTACATAGTTTAATTTCTCCCAGCTCTATGGAGGCCAGTAGGAGCTGTGG